TTGAAGTGGAGTTTAGTTACGATATCGTCACCTTTACACAAGCCAGGAGACAGGTGTTGTGTTTCCTGCGAGCGTACACGCGCTTTCCCCGGGTCGCCCGCCACCCGTCTTATGTAACCAGGAGTACAGAGCCAACATCTCGCGGTCATCCTTGCACTCTTTCAAAACCTTAAGTGTTAAAGCTGCACATCTGCTTCTGTTTGTTTGTTTGTTTGTTGTTTAACGCCGCAGTCTGCAGTATTCCAGCTATATGACGGCGATCTGTAAATAATCGAGTCTGGTCCAGGCAATCCAGTGATTGATATCATGAGCATCGATCCAATTGGGATCGATGACAGGCATCAACCAAGACTTTTATGGCAAGCATGGGTTGCTGAAGACCTTTTCTACCCCGGATCTTCACAGGTCTCGCCTGCTTCTAATGTTTCTGGATTTAGTTTAGTTTAGTTTAGTTTAGTTTAGTTTAGTTTAGTTTAGTTTAGTTTAGTTTAGTTTAGTTTAGTTTAGTTTAGTTTAGTTTAGTTTAGTTTAGTTTAGTGAGGTGAGGTGAGGTGAGTGCTAGCCCACTGTGATACCATGCCGCAGTTTAACATGAATACCCCACTCAGACACTGTATACTGACTCCGAGCCGACCAGTCCTTGTTTTAGCCCCTTAATGCCGAGCACCAAACATGGTAACAACACGTACCATCTTTAAACGTCTTTTGGTATGACGCGGCCGGGGATCGAACCCCGGACCTTCCACTCTCCCAGTGGACGCTCTACCACTAGACCACGGAGGGGGTTTGTATACTTACTATAGGGCGTCGGTTTTACCTTCGAATTCGTTCTTTGCTGAAGACAGATTCTACCCCGGATCTTACTTTCGTGATTGACAAAGTCATCGTCACGAGGGATAACGATTGTGTAAGGTGGCGATTATCATGACTTAGAAAGATGATAATTGTAGTCTTTAATGGTTGTGAAAGGTGACAATTGAAACAGGATTATAAAATGATTCTGTATGATACTAATTGAAAAATATAGTTATGACTGTGAAATATGATGGTTAGCATGGTTTTGAAAGATATTTATAGTCTATGATAATTAGTGAGTTAGTGAGTTGGGTCTAACGCCGCTTGGGGTCTAACAGCTTAGTGTGGATGGAAAGCCCGAAGTGATACAGGTCTCAGATGCTTACAACTTTAGTAAAACCTACGAGCACGGGTATGGTGCTGAAAAAACTAACAACATAATCGGGGCGAACCAGGATTCGAACCCACGATCATGTTTCTGGCGTACCCAAGGGAAGCAATTCTACACAGCGAATTCCTGCTGCTCAGACGAATAGGCCAATGATCGCGAAACACAATCAGTATTGCAGAGGATTTTATGCTTACCAGATTGACATGATTGTGAAAGCTAGTGATTGAAATGATTGTGAATTATAATGTTTGCAAACGATAATGATTGACAAACAAGATAATGATTGACATGTTTGTGAAAGACTCACACTCACACTGTATAACTATATTCTTCCAACTTCCACCATGAATCATAAAATACATTTCAAGCTATCACAAAATGCACTGTAAGATATAATAAATTCATCTATTGATACTTCAAAATCGAATTGGGGGCGGTCGGGTAGCCTAGTGGTTAAAGCGTTCGCTCGTCATGCCGTGATATTGCTGGAATATTGCTAAAGCGGCGTAAAACCAAAGTCACTCAGTCAAAATCGAATTTGTCATACCAGTCATTATTTTATGATGTTATGAAATCGAATTTGTGATAGTTTTTCTGAAGTATTTTTAATTTTGTGATATCACTAAATGAATTATTGATAAAAACTAGTGAATAAATGTTAAAACGTCCCTTTTATTTCTGAAACCTTGTCAATCTGGACGACGGTGCATTCCTTTCAAACAGCTGACTAAAACACCAGCCAGTCACAGGCACTTCGATAAACACCCTTGATCCAAGCTGAATTTCATTTCGCCTTCTGACAGCCGACAGCCGGCTACCGACATAAGAGGAGTCACGTTATTTTCTTCATTTAATGGTATTTGCCTATCTATTTATCTAAATATTATTTTATCAAGTCGTATTTAATGTTTGCACTGACACAGAATCAAACACACGACATCCTTTGTAAATTCACAAATTTAAATATTAAATAACACCACGGAAAAGTGTGGTTATTTGTCACTACTGTTGACTTTATTATATTCGATATACTTGCGGTCCTACAATGATTCAATCATCTCCCTAATACAATCGTCGTTCCCTTTAATAGTTCGCATCAGTTTACATTAATCATAAATATTTCAATAAGGTGAAGTATTTTCGACATTCATATATACTGTGTGCACTTGAATCGCTGGCAGAACCCTGAGGGCCCAAACTCCCCGCGCTTGTGTCAATACCATTCACATCTTACATACTTGTCAAGTCATTCCCGTTCGGGGTCAAAGGTCATGAATGATGGGATATTTTTACTTCGTAGAAAAAAGTCTAAGCGCCCTGCACGCGATGTCCTTGGCTATGGAAATACGCATCTTTCTTTTCGTTTTCATATTTTTGTGTTATATACAAAACCCGGAATGGCTCCATTGGTACGAAAGAGGATTCCATCTACTCCTTGTTGATCAGAGCTATACGGGTTTCAATGATGAGTATATTTCGTGTTTGCATTAAGTCAGTGGTGGAGAGCAGTGTATTTACTTCATTCAATAGCAAATGGGCTGACGGTGAGAATAAATGTTAGAATACAATGATTTCTAAACAGGGTTGCGTGCGGCAGATGTACCAGGTCAGAGGTTAACTGTTGTGGCTGAATTTCACGTTTTCATTTGGAGTAAACGCGAATAGGCTTTAGAAAATAAGATGATCCACGCCAATTCCGCGGGTGAAGGGACAAAAGGTGCCGGTTTCGTCTCGTTGGTGGGTCAAAGGGTTAAAATATGAAGATATTTTGAGGCAGAAAAGCAACATTGGTATTCTGCGTCAACGTTAACCCCTTCCCACCTGTCAGGGCTGTAGGTATAACTGAGAAGGTTTTCCAGGAGAATTACTTTACGAAATTTTTCTCTTCAATAAAGACACATCTTAAAAATTACTAAAGGTCGAAACACTCCACAACCCTCGAATAAGTAATATTGATATTAACATTAATGTTGTATCAAAACTTACAATATTAATATACAATGTATTACAACTGGCATCACTAATGTGGTTTTTTTGTGCGGTTAGGCCATCTGGTCCGTTTGATGCCACTGTTGTAGGCCATTGTTAAGTGATGTTGTAGGCCATTGGTAAGTGATGTTGTAGGCCATTTGTAAGTGTTGTTGTAGGCCATTGGTAAGTGATGTTGTAGGCCATTTGTAAGTGTTGTTGTAGGCCATTGGTAAGTGATGTTGTAGGCCATTTGTAAGTGTTGTTGTAGCCATTTGTAAGTGATGTTGTAGGCCATTGGTAAGTGATGTTGTACGTCCATTTGTAAGTGTTGTTGTAGGCCATTGGTAAGTGATGTTGTAGGCCATTGGTAAGTGATGTTGTAGGTCATTGGTAAGTGATGTTGTAGGCCATTTTTAAGTGATGTTGTAGGCCATTGGTAAGTGATGTTGTAGGCCATTGGTAAGTGATGTTGTAGGCCATTTGTAAGTGTTGTTGTAGGCCATTTGTAAGTGATGTTGTAGGCCATTTGTAAGTGATGTTGTAGGCCATTTGTAAGTGATGTTGTAGGCCATTTGTAAGTGTTGTTGTAGGCCATTTGTAAGTGTTGTTGTAGGCCATTTGTAAGTGATGTTGTAGGCCATTTGTAAGTGTTGTTGTAGGCCATTTGTAAGTGATATTGTAGGCCATTTGTAAGTGATGTTGTAGGCCATTTGTAAGTGTTGTTGTAGGCCATTTGTAAGTGATGTTGTAGGCCATTTGTAAGTGTTGTTGTAGGCCATTTGTAAGTGTTGTTGTAGGCCATTTGTAAGTGTTGTTGTAGGCCATTTGTAAGTGTTGTTGTAGGCCATTTGTAAGTGTTGTTGTAGGCCATTTGTAAGTGTTGTAGGCCATTTGTAAGTGTTGTTGTAGGCCATTTGTAAGTGTTGTTGTAGGCCATTTGTAAGTGATGTTGTAGGCCATTTGTAAGTGTTGTTGTAGGCCATTTGTAAGTGATGTTGTACGTCCATTTGTAAGTGTTGTTGTAGGCCATTTGTAAGTGATGTTGTACGTCTATTTGTAAGTGTTGTTGCAGAACATTTTTATGTGCTATTGTACGTCCGTGTGTAAGTGCTGTTGTACATTCATGTGTACGTTAGTGCTATTGTACGTCCATTTGTAAGTGCTGTTGTACGTTCATGTGTAAGTGTTGTTGTTCGTTCAATTTTAAGTGCAATGGTACATCCATATGTAAGTGCTAACGTACGTCCATAAGTAAGTGTTGTTGTACGTCCGTGTGTAAGTGCTATTGTACGTCCATTAGTAAGTGCTGTTGTACGTCCACTTGTAAGTGCTATTACACGTCCATTTGTAAGTGTTGTTGTTCGTTCAATTTTACGTGCAATGGTACATCCATATGTAAGTGCTATTGTACGTCCATACGTAAGTTTTGTTGTACGTCCATTTGTAAGTGCTGTTGTTCGTCCATTTGTAAGTGATGTAGTACGTCCACTTGTAAGTGCTATTGATTCCCCAGATGGGTGCTATTTCTGAATCCCGTTCTTTCTGTCGTGGTATGACCAAACTGTTTTAAAGGCGGCTGTCACCACACCAACTCACTGCAGGAACAGGTTTAATATTCCTACAAGTTGCACACAATCGGTTAAATACAAATAAACGGCATGCTATTCTCTTCAGTTGGTTGAATTTAATCCACAAGTATTTTTTCAATTATGAACCTATTTTCATTAAAACAATTATGGTCGCTTGGTGAGCCACGAGCACCCTCCGCAAGGCCTGACGGGGACATCCTGACGTTTCTGACAAGATCGGCCATTTTAACGTGAACTGATTGGCACGGTAAACGATGGCGGCCTTCGCATCTCAAATCTTCCCAGTAGGTGGCGGAGGAACTGGGAAGGGCTATCACCCTTGGCTGCTTGAGTCATAAGAATGTATATGACACTGCAGCAGCATTTACACCCGAATCTAAACGTCGGTTAAACCGCGGATGTACTACATGTACCTGTGGTTTAACAAGCCTTGTGACACGTCAACCAAGCTGGACAGCGTCGAAAGTTCAGTTTCTCACAGTTCACGATAGAGACTGTTCCTGGCACTGCGGCAATTGCTGCTCTTCTTCTACAATCATTTCCACAAACCGCTTCCATTGGCCAAATATAACATTGCTCATTTAACAAGAACTACAACAGCTGCTACTGCTAGGGCTACTGGTGCCTCTACTAATGCTGATGTTTCAACTACTAATACTCGTGCTACCACCACTATTACTACAACTACTAATACTACCACTACTACTACTGAGGAGTGGCCCAGTCGTCTAAGGCGCCGCGATTCGCTGTACAGAGTTGCGTCCCTTGGGCACGCCAGAAACCTATGATTGTGGGTTCGAATCCCGGTTCGACCCGATTATGTTTCTAGGTTTGTCAGCACCATACCCGTGATCGTTGGTTTCACCGAAGTGGTAAACGTCTGAGACCTGGTCTAGAGGTAGAGCGTCCGCCCGGAGAGCGGAAGGTCCGGGGGTCATACCAAAAGACGTTAAAAGATGGTACTTGTTGTTACCCCGTCTGGCGCTCGGCATTAAGGGGCTAAAACAAGGACTGGTCGGGTCGGAGTCAGTATACTGTGTCTGAGTAGGGTATTCATGTTAAACTGCGGCATGGTATCTCAGTGGGCTAGCACTATAAATCGGCTTCAGTCCGGACTAGTACAAGCAGCCACACACACGTGCATGCACGTCGCTGTATAAGTGTAATATTCTTGGACGCGACGTTAAACCCCATTTCACCTCACCTCACCTGACCTCACTTCTCTCTAATGTCTCCTCTACTTCAACTGCTTCTATCAGGACAGACTATGGGTTCCATTTTGCTGTACACCTTGCCGCTAATTAATCGTGATGTTAACCCTCAATTCAAAGGGGCCAACATGAAAACAACCTCATACGTTTCTCTCGATTCCCTTGGAATGAAACCTTTTTTTCGGCTCTTTCGTAAAGATGACATATTGAACGGGAACAAATAAGTTCATATTTCACCAGAGATATATTTTCATATAGTATTCTACAAAAAAAATCGGCGGAACCACCCAAGCTTGGATTGTGACATTGGGTTGTTTGACAAGCAACCCCTACCACTGTGTACACAGTGAAACACACGCCTTGAAAATATACAGCGTTGAACTTGAGGACATAAAGACCACGACCAGATGCATTTCTCCATACGTAAGATACTTCAACTCATTTGTACCCGAAACGTTAACCCTCTCAATACCAAACCAAGTTGAATGAAATTTACATAAACCAATCCATTTTACGAAAAAGGCTTCTTTGTTGTTTAACTCCAATATTTCCGCTATATAACGGTGGTCTGTACAGAATCGAATGTAGACCGGACAATGCAGTGATTGATATTATCAGCAACGACCCAAGCCGTGGGGGTACGATGGCACGCAATCAACCAAGTCACTGAGTCTGACCACCCGATACAGATAGTCCCCTCTGACGGCCAGCACAGTTTGTTTGGGGACCTATGTCCTGAATCGCCGAGGGGAAATTTGAGAGAGAAGTCGCGTTGTGTCAAGCATGAGTGAGTAAGTGAGTGAGTTGGGTTTAACGCCGCTTTTAACATTATTCCAGTTATATCACGGCGTGTCAGCTTAATGTGGGAGGAAGGCCCGAAGTGATGCAGGTCTCAGACGTTTACCACTTCGGTGAAACCCACGAGCACGGGTATGGTGCTGACAAACCTAGAAACATAATCGGGTGGTCCGAGGGACTGTGTCAAGCACGAAGAACTTAATGTTAATTATCTTCATAACGAACCTGTAGTACGCGTGACAAACAGATATAGCTCTCTTTAAAATGAATCAAGTGTGACTTCATCATGCCAGCCACAGGCTTGAGTATTGAGCTCCTTAGCGGACAACAAGGTCCAGTGGTTTTCTCCCCTGTCCACAGATTCCTCCCTACACCATAACATCTACTCCACCATACGGTACGATCTCCGGAACCTAACATGTCGTCGTTCGTTCGTGAAAACGCTGCCTTCCATCAGCTCTGAACAGACAGAACCGGCTTTTATCAGTGAAGACGACCCTCTGCCAGTCACGTCGCTGCCAACGAAGTACAATCCGGGCCCATCTCAATCTCTGACGACGATGTTGCGCTGTTAATAACTGTCCTCTGTAAGGTATGCCCGCCCTAATTCCTTGAGCCCTGAGTCACCTGGCCACTGTCTGTTAACCAACCATAAGCCCTAAGGCATTCGTCGCTGATGACATCACTGTTAGAATTCGATTCCGGAGATGCAAAGTACGCAAGTACCGGTCTTCATTTGGTGTAGTTACCCTGGGTCTGCCTTTTCTTGGCCTGTCTGATGCCTGTCCGGTCTGTCTGTAACGTTGCATCAGATTCGTTAACAATAAGCCCTAAGGCATTCGTCGCTGATGACATCACTGTCAGAAATCGATTCCGGAGATGCAAAGTACGCAAGTACCGGTCTTCATTTGGTGTAGTTACCCTGGGTCTGCCTTTTCTTGGCCCGTCGGATGCCTGTCCGGTCTGTCTGTAACGTTGCATCAGATTCGTTACAACAACACGGGAGCAACGAGAGTTCTAGCCATCTGGGCATGGCTGGCTACCATCTGTATCATATCCTGGGTCCGCTCGCATTGTTCGGGTATCAGTCGTGGCATTTCTGTGTTTTTGTTTCTGTTTATCAGTGTGAATGTCTGACATGCCGACCGTATTATTTATAAACCATTGTTGCACGTGTAAATCCGACTGTCTAATCGGCACTTTTTTTTTCTCACCTTTTAGCATTTTCTACAAACAAAACGTGCCGTGGACGTGTATCACTATCTGTATAGATCGTTGTTGTGTTTGGACGATGTGTTTTGCATTGAAATTTTAAATTTATGTTTTAAATTATTTGCAAATTCATTTGTAAATTGGTAAAGTGTCTTCTGGCCGTCAGTTTATTATATGCCCTATACATGCGTGTCAGTTGGATAAACGTACACTTATGCGCTTATATCGTGAAATATAATAACATGTATTATATACCCAGTATGCATTGTTCATTAGGTAGAGGTAGACTCGGGATCAAGGTTGAGCTTTATGATAGAGTCGCATATAGGTTACCATGCACCTTGAGTAGACATCAAACATCACTGTGGCAGTCAGTAACATTCAAGTCGCCCCAGTTATAACGTTAGACCAGACCTGTGTTTCTGCAGACAGGTCGTTTTGTTGCCTGGCGGGCTGTTAATGTCTGACAACTGGTATTGTTATGATAAACATTGTCGATGTGCGTTACAGACATAGTGTCGACCAACGGTGTGCATTAAGGATAAGACAAGAAGGGATAGCGGTGGTGTGTGTGTGTGTGTGTGTGTGTGTGTGTGTGTGTGTGTGTGTGTGTGTGTGTGTGTGTGTGTGTGTGTGTGTGTGTGTGTGTGTGTGTGTGTGTGTGTGTGTGTGTGTGTGTGTGTGTGTGTGTGTGTGTGTGTGTGTGTGTGTATTGGGTGTCGGTGTTTAGTATATATGTGTGTGTGTAGGGTGAGAGTGTGTGTTGGTTGGTGCGGGGTCTATGGGCGTGTGTCTGTCGAGGGGGATGTAGGGCGTGTGTGTATGTGTTTATAGTGTGTGTGCAGAGAATGGGGGTCTATTGGTGTGTTTATATAGAGTGTGGATGTGTGGTGTGTGAATGTGTGTGGTCGGTAGTGTGTGGGTGTGGGTGTGGGTGTGTGTAGAGTGCGGGGGTGTATGGGTGTGTGTAGAGTGTGGATGTGTGGATGTGTGGTGGTCGGTGTTTGGGTGTGAAGTGTGTGTAGAGTGTAGATGTGTGGTGGGCGGTGTTTGGGTGTGAAGTGTGTTTTGAGTGTGGATGTGTGGTGGGCGGTGTTTGGGTGTGAAGTGTGTGTAGAGTGTAGAGGTGTGGTGGGCGGTGTTTGGGTGTGAAGTGTGTTTTGAGTGTGGATGTGTGGTGGGCGGTGTTTGGGTGTGAAGTGTGTTTTGAGTGTAGATGTGTGGTGGGCGGTGTTTGGGTGTGAAGTGTTTGTAGAGTGTGGATGTGTAGATGTGTGGTGGGCGGTGTTTGGGTGTGATGTGTGTGTAGAGTGTAGATGTGTGGTGGGCGGTGTTTGGGTGTGAAGTGTGTGTAGAGTGTGGATGTGTGGTATGTGTATGTGGGCGGTGTGTGTGTGTGGAGTGTGTTTTGAGTGTGGATGTGTGGTGGGCTGATGTGGGTAGTGTGTGTACGTGGGTGGCGCGTGGGTGTGTAGTGTGTGGGTGTTAAGTGTATGGGTGTGTGTATCGGTTGTGTAGGGTGTGGTGTGTGGATGTGGGTAGTTTGTGTACGTGGGTGGCGCGTGGGTGTGTAGTGTGTGGGTGTTAAGTGTATGGGTGTGTGTATCGGTTGTGTAGGGTGTGGTGTGTGGATGAGGGTGGTTTGGGAGTATTGTGCGCGTGTGTGTCTTTATGTTTGGGGATTACTGGGAGGCAGAACAAGTTCACCATCTGTGTTTCACAGTGGAATTCAGTGACAGACCAGGTTCCAAGTTCACAATCTGTGTCTGAAGAGGCTTGCGAACCCATGTTAATTCTCTGTGCTCTGATCTCGGATTCAAAGGCGGGTTCGGACACCATATCTACCGTTGTGAGAACCTGTGCTCCAAATTACTCGTCTTCAATTATTTGGGACTTTAATGTATTTTTTAAAATACTGTTTAAAGCGGCGTTAAACCCACGCATTAGACAACGTCTGATGGAAACGGTCATTTTCACTCTGGAACACAATCATGTTCATACACGCCCACTGTGCCTCCTATCAAATATCCCGCCATTCATCCTCGCCTAAAGTTTCACAGTACTTATCCGGAAAAACAAACCCCCCACTTCATCCCACCCATCGACACACAACACCGACCCTTCCAATCAACCCCAGCCCCCGACTGTAGCCACGGACAACAAACACCTGCCACACCCACCGACCGACACACAAGACCGACACACAAGACCGACACACAAGACCGACACACAAGACCGACACACAAGACCGACACACAAGACCGACACCAGCCCCCGACTCCATCCACCGACTCAACCCACCGACCGACACACAAGACCGACACACAAGACCGACACCAGCCCCCGACTCCATCCACCGACTCCACCCACCGACCGACACACAAGACCGACACACAAGACCGACACCAGCCCCCGACTCCATCCACCAACTCAACCCACCGACCGACACACAAGACCGACACCAGCCCCCGACTCCATCCACCGACTCAACCCACCGACGCACAAGACCGACACACAAGACCGACACACAAGACCGACACACAAGACCGACACACAAGACCGACACACAAGACCGACACCAGCCCCCGACTCCATCCACCGACTCAACCCACCGACCGACACACAAGACCGACACCAGCCCCCGACTCCATCCACCGACTCAACCCACCGACCGACACACAAGACCGACACCAGCCCCCGACTCCATCCACCGACTCAACCCACCGACGCACAAGACCGACACACAAGACCGACACACAAGACCGACACACAAGACCGACACACAAGACCGACACACAAGACCGACACCAGCCCCCGACTCCATCCACCGACTCAACTCACCGACTCAACCCACCGACACACAAGACCGACACACAAGACCGACACACAAGACCGACACACAAGACCGACACCAGCCCCCGACTCCATCCACCGACTCAACCCACCGACTCAACCCACCGACCGACACACAAGACCGACACACAAGACCGACACCAGCCCCCGACTCCATCCACCGACTCAACCCACCGACTCAACCCACCGACCGACACACAAGACCGACACCAGCCCCCGACTCCATCCACCGACTCAACCCACCGACTCAACCCACCGACCGACACACAAGACCGACACCAGCCCCCGACTCCATCCACCGACTCAACCCACCGACTCAACCCACCGACCGACACACAAGACCGACACCAGCCCCCGACTCCATCCACCGACTCAACCCACCGACTCAACCCACCGACCGACACACAAGACCGACACACAAGACCGACACCAGCCCCCGACTCCATCCACCGACTCAACCCACCGACTCAACCCACCGACCGACACACAAGACCGACACCAGCCCCCGACTCCATCCACCGACTCAACTCACCGACTCAACCCACCGACCGACACACAAGACCGACACACAAGACCGACACACAAGACCGACACCAGCCCCCGACTCCATCCACCGACTCAACCCACCGACTCAACCCACCGACCGACACACAAGACCGACACACAAGACCGACACCAGCCCCCGACTCCATCCACCGACTCAACCCACCGACTCAACCCACCGACCGACACACAAGACCGACACCAGCCCCCGACTCCATCCACCGACTCAACCCACCGACTCAACCCACCGACCGACACACAAGACCGACACCAGCCCCCGACTCCATCCACCGACTCAACCCACCGACTCAACCCACCGACCGACACACAAGACCGACACCAGCCCCCGACTCCATCCACCGACTCAACCCACCGACGCACAAGGCCGGCCACTGCCTTTGACTCCACACACCAACAATAAATACCTGCCACTCCCACCGACACACAACACCGACCCCACCAACCAACCCCACCCACCGACTCCACCCACTGACACCAAACAGCTGCCACACCCACCGACCGACACACAAGACCGACACCAGCCCCCGACTCCATCCACCGACTCAACCCACCGACGCACAAGGCCGGCCACTGCCTTTGACTCCACACACCAACAATAAATACCTGCCACTCCCACCGACACACAACACCGACCCCACCAACCAACCCCACCCACCGACTCCACCCACTGACACCAAACAGCTGCCACACCCACCGACCCACGCTCCACCCACCGACAACTCTCACCAACCGCACCCACAGACAACACTCACCGTCCCCACACACTGACAACCACCGGCCGCACCCACTGACCCCACCCAGCGGCCGCACCCACCGACCCAACCCACTGACAACATCCACCAGCCACCGCCCCTTACCCCAACCACCGGCCGCACCCACTGACCCCACCCAGCGGCCGCACCCACCGACCCCACCCACTGACAACATCCACCAGCCACCGCCACTGACCCCAACCACCGGCCGCACCCACTGACCCCACCCAGCGGCCGCACCCACCGACCCCACCCACTGACAACATCCACCAGCCACCGCCACTGACCCCAACCACCGGCCGCACCCACTGACCCCACCCAGCGGCCGCACCCACCGACCCCACCCACTGACAACATCCACCAGCCACCGCCCCTTACCCCAACCACCGGCCGCACCCACTGACCCCACCGAGCGGCCGCACCCACCGACCCCACCCACTGACAACATCCACCAGCCACCGCCACTTACCCCAACCACCGGCCGCACCCACTGACCCCACCGAGCGGCCGCACCCACCGACCCCACCCACTGACAACATCCACCAGCCACCGCCACTTACCCCAACCACCGGCCGCAACAACCGACCAAACCTACTGACAACATCCACCGACTTGCAACGCAGTGACGAACTACACGACACTCTACCATCAGAATTTAAATACATATACAGTCTCAACTTACACTGAATTCACAAACGAAATATGCAATGTAAATTGTATATTCTTCACTCAACACATATTTACAAACCACAAATTTCCAGCCGCCACCTCTGTTAAGCCCGACCTATATACTCGACTACGTGACAGATAGGTCAGGTATCTCCACGCTCTAGTAAGTATTTACGCAAAGCATCCTAAACGAGCCCCCCGCCTATCTCCTATCAACATTCATATCTCCACACCCCTCTTCCACCTGTGTATACGCACCCACTGGCTTTATCCCCGACAGACCCACAAGGTATATGTTTATATACATAATACTTATGTAGAACCCGGGGTATACCGTCCCGAGGCGATTGTCTCACTGATAACACAGGCTATGCGCTACGTACCTGCGTGCCGCCATGGCACATATAAGTGGCCAGGTGTGTGGTGAGGTGGGACAGGAAGGTGTGTTGTGAGGTGGGGTAGGTGTGTTGTGAGATGGGGCAGGAAGGTGTGTTGTGAGGTGGGGTAGGTGTGTTGTGAGGGGGGGTAGGTGTGTTGTGAGGTGGGGTAGGTGTGTTGTGAGGGGGGGGGGGGGGGGGGGGGGTAGGTGTGTTGTGAGGTGGAGCAGGAAGGTGTGTTGTGAGGTGGGGTAGGTGTGTTGTGAGGGGGGGTAGGTGTGTTGTGAGGTGGGGTAGGTGTGTTGTGAGGTGGGGCAGGAAGGTGTGTTGTGAGGTGACAGGCAGATGTAATGTGTGGTGGGGTAGGTGTCTTGTGAGGTGGGGAAGGTGTGTTGTGAGGTGGGGTAGGTGTGTTGTGAGGTGGGGTAGGTGTGTTGTGAGGGGGGGGGGGGGTGTAGGTGTCTTGTGAGGTGGGGTAGGTGTGTTGTGAGGTGGGGTAGGTGTGTTGTGAGGTGGGGCAGGAAGGTGTGTTGTGAGTTGGACAGGCAGATGTGTTGTGTGGTAGGGTAGGTGTGTTGTGAGTTGGGGCAGGAAGGTGTGTTGTGAGGTGGGGCAGGAAGGTGTGTTGTGAGGTGGACAGGCAGATGTGTTGTGTGGTGGGGTAGGTGTGTTTTGAGGTGGGGTAGGTGTGTTGTGAGGTGGGGCAGGAAGGTGTGTTGTGAGGTGGACAGGCAGATGTGTTGTGTGGTGGGGTAGGTGTGTTGTGAGGTGGGGTAGGTGTGTTGTGAGGTGGACAGGCAGATGTGTTGTGTGGTGGGGTAGGTGTGTTGTGAGGTGGGGCAGGAAGGTGTGTTGTGAGGTGGACAGGCAGATGTGTTGTGTGGTGGGGTAGGTGTGTTGTGAGGTGGGGTAGGTGTGTTGTGAGGTGGACAGGCAGATGTGTTGTGTGGTGGGGTAGGTGTGTTGTGAGGTGGGGTAGATGTGTTGTGAGGTGGGGTAGGTGTGTTGTAAGGTGGGGTAGGTGTGTTGTAAGGTGGGGTAGGTGTGTTGTAAGGTGGGGTAGGTGTGTTGTAAGGTGGGGTAGGTGTGTTGTGAGGTGGGGCAGGAAGGTGTGTTGTGAGGTGGACAGGCAGATGTGTTGTGTGGTGGGGTAGGTGTGTTGTGAGGTGGGGTAGGTGTGTTGTGAGGTGGACAGGCAGATGTGTTGTGAGGTGGGGTGGGGTAGGTGTGTTGTGAGGTGGGGTAGGTGTGTTGTGAGGTGGGGTAGGTGTGTAGTGAGGTGGACAGGTAGGTGTGTTGTGAGGTGGACAGGTAGGTGTGTTGTGAGGTGTGGAGGTAGGTGTGTAGTGAGGTGGACAGGTAGGTGTGTTGTGAGGTGTGGAGGTAGGTGTGTAGTGAGGTGGACAGGTAGGTGTGTTGTGAGGTGGACAGGTAGGTGTGTTGTGAGGTGTGGAGGTGTGTTGTGAGGTGGGGCAGGAAGGTGTGTTGTGAGGTGGACAGGCAGATGTGTTGTGTGGTGGGGTAGGTGTGTTGTGAGGTGGGGTAGGTGTGTTGTGAGGTGGACAGGCAGATGTGTTGTGTGGTGGGGTAGGTGTGTTGTGAGGTGGGGCAGGAAGGTGTGTTGTGAGGTGGACAGGCAGATGTGTTGTGTGGTGGGGTAGGTGTGTTGTGAGGTGGGGTAGGTGTGTTGTGAGGTGGACAGGCAGATGTGTTGTGTGGTGGGGTAGGTGTGTTGTGAGGTGGGGTAGATGTGTTGTGAGGTGGGGTAGGTGTGTTGTAAGGTGGGGTAGGTGTGTTGTAAGGTGGGGTAGGTGTGTTGTAAGGTGGGGTAGGTGTGTTGTAAGGTGGGGTAGGTGTGTTGTGAGGTGGGGCAGGAAGGTGTGTTGTGAGGTGGACAGGCAGATGTGTTGTGTGGTGGGGTAGGTGTGTTGTGAGGTGGGGTAGGTGTGTTGTGAGGTGGACAGGCAGATGTGTTGTGAGGTGGGGTGGGGTAGGTGTGTTGTGAGGTGGGGTAGGTGTGTTGTGAGGTGGGGTAGGTGTGTAGTGAGGTGGACAGGTAGGTGTGTTGTGAGGTGGACAGGTAGGTGTGTTGTGAGGTGTGGAGGTAGGTGTGTAGTGAGGTGGACAGGTAGGTGTGTTGTGAGGTGTGGAGGTAGGTGTGTAGTGAGGTGGACAGGTAGGTGTGTTGTGAGGTGGACAGGTAGGTGTGTTGTGAGGTGTGGAGGTAGGTGTGTAGTGAGGTGGACAGGTAGATATGTTGTGAGTTTGGGTAGGTGTGTTGTGAGGTGGACAGGTAGGTGTGTTGTGAGGTGGACAGGTAGGTGTGTTGTGAGGTGTGGAGGTAGGTGTGTAGTGAGGTGGTCAGGTAGGTGTGTTGTGAGGTGGTCAGGTAGGTGTGTTGTGAGGTGGGGTAGGGGTGTTGTATGGTGGGGAACGTGTGTTGTGAGGTGGGGTAGGTGTGTGGTGAGGTGGACAGGCAGATGTGTTGTGAGGTGGACAGGTAGGTGTGTTGTGAGGTGTGCAGGTAGGTGTGTAGTGAGGTGGACAGGTAGGTGTGTTGTGAGGATGTCAGGTAGGTGTGTTGTTAGGGAGACAGGTAGGTGTGAGGTGTGTAGGTAGATGTGTTGTGAGGGGGACAGGTAGGTGTGTTGTGAGGTGGACAGGAATGTTTGTAGTGAGGACAGGTAGGTGTGTTGTGAGGTGGACAGGTAGGTGTTTTGTGAGGTGGTCAGGTAGGTGTGTTGTTAGGGAGACAGGTAGGTGTGAGGTGTGTAGGTAGATGTGTTGTGAGGGGGACAGGTAGGTGTGTTGTGAGGTGGACAGGAATGTTTGTAGTGAGGACAGGTAGGTGTGTTGTGAGGTGGACAGGTAGGTGTTTTGTGAGGTGGTCAGGTAGGTGTGTTGTGAGGGGGACAGGTAGGTGTGTTGTGAGGTGGACAGGTAGATGTGTTGTGAGGTGGACAGGTAGGTGTGTTGTGAGGGAGACAGGTAGGTGTGTTGTGAGGTGTGCAGGTAGATGTGTTGTGAGGGAGACAGGTAGATGTGTTGTGAGGTGTGCAGGTAGGTGTGTTGTGAGGTGTGTAGGTAGGTGTTTTTTAGGGGGACAGGTAGGTGTTTTGTGAGGGTGACAGGTAGGTGTGTTGTGAGGGGGACAGGTAGGTGTGTTGTGAGATGTGCAGGTAGGTGTGTTGTGAGGGGGACAGGAAGGTGTGTTGTGAGGGGGACAGGTAGGTGTGTAGTGAGGGGGACAGGTAGGTGTGTTGTGAGGTAGTGGGGGTAGACGTGAGGTGAGTGGAATAGGTGTGTCGTCAGGTGGACGGGTAGGTTTGTAGTGATGACAGGTAGATGTGTTGTGAGTTAATATGGGACAATTTGATAAGATAAATACACAGATATACACACACTACACAATCTAAACAAATTATTTTCCAATTTAGCAACTACTGTCCATGAACGACTGTTCATGATATAGAAAAATGCATGCTTTACAAACAGAACACCGGTCCCGAACACCAGGCCTATATTCAAGTCCGACGCCTTGTGATTGAGGTGACAAGTGGTTACACGACATCCACCATATACC